TCTGTGTGTGTGTGTGTGTGTGTGTGTGTGTGTGTGTGTGTGTGTGTGTGTGTGTGTACGCATATGCATGGGTGGCAGGTTTGTATAATTTTTGGTGGTGCCCAGAACGGGTCCAAGCAGAGCTGTCCCATCCTTATGGATGGCTCTAAAAATATAAGCCCAAACATTGGTGGAGCCGGGTCCACGTTCCTGAATATTGGTGGAGCACGGGCACCGCGGGCCAATATAACTCGCTGCCTGTGTGTGTATGTGTGTATTTCATCGTTGTACTTTTTGAATTAAGCAGCAAAACAAAAAGCTTGCTTTTAAACAGTCAGACAGCTCCAGACCTGCTGTAACCAGGTATGATTCCTATGAAAGTGTCTAGGCCTTAATCAGTGATGACGTAAAGGCTGGTGTAAGAGAGCCGAGAATCAGGATCTCACTGAATGTCAAATCTTAGAAGTTTTTACCTGGCCCAGAAAATGGTGATTAGAAACGTATGAAAAAATTAGTGTGTGGAACTCCTCAGCGATATATGAGAATCCATTAAACATTTAATGCAGAGCTAAGAAATTCCCTGTCATCTCCATTGTAGTTTTAGGACAAAAAGTGCAAGGTGATGTTTCCACTGGGCTTATCTGTAATAATAAAGACCAAGTCCCAGGGGGCCTTATTCCAATACCTGTCTGCCTCAATTGTGAGACAAGCATTTACTGCTGCTGGCCAGAATGCACCACAATTACAACTACCGATCCCAATGACCACCAAGCCCCCAATCTCTACAACCACAACTACCATGAACTCCCCACCCTCCCCTCACAACTACCAACACCCACAACTACCATGAAGCCCCTAACCCCCACGCCCACCAATACAATGACCATTGAGCCTCCAACCCCCACACCCACAAGCACAACTTCCTCCAAACCCCCATACCCGTCACCATAACTACTACCAGGCCTCCAACCCCCTACACTAACCACCCCCACATCAGCAACCACTATCAGCACTGAGCCGTCCCCAACACCCAATTCAACCACCACACTGCCAACCAGCACCATTTAGCATCCAACACACCCTCCAATGTCAACACCAAAAACCACTATAACTAGTATTACTAAGCCTCCAACCACTAAAAGTACCACCATGCCATCATCAAATATTATAAGTGGAACCACAACTGGCATTTCAGCAGGTAAACTTTGAACGATAACTGCCCACACTTAATGATAAGAATAAAATTCTGTAAGTGTTGATGTGATTCTCATTAACCTAAGTTAACCGACAGTAAAAATTCAGACAAAGTAAGGTGGCAGCTATAGACAGAAGTGTCCTAACAGCAGAGATTTATTTAATGTGTTCATCTCTGCTTCGCCTTTCAGAATTTCTAACAAAAAATCATAAGAAATATAGCATTAACTGGAAAAAACGCCCACCACCTTTTTTTTTATTTGAACATTGTACATTTTGGCCAAGATACCCTTTTACCTGCTAATTTAAATGTAATTGATATTTTAAAAAATATGTATTGCCAGCAGATTTTGAACAAGGTATTTTTTGAGACTTAAGAATAAAATAATAGCGACTTGTATTTTTACTTGGAACAAATCCTGCCCCTGGTTTGCGTGGAAATAAGAGGCATATTAAGTTCCTTATTCCTGTATAAGCTGGATCCACATCTGTCCCACCAAACCTCAGGAGGCTGAAACTGGTATTAAAGAGTGTGCAAAGCTTCTCTGGGGCTGCTTTGTAGGCAGGTGATACTGAGCTACTCATGGGCTAAGGAGTTAATATAAGTATACACTCCGTGTTCCTTCCCAAGGGTACGTCTTCACTACCCGCCGTATCGGCGGATAGCAATCGATTTTTCCGGATTGATTAACCGCGGCTCCCTGAAAGCGCTCACCGTCGACTCCGGAACTCCACCAGAGTGAGCGGCGGTAGCGCAGTCGACAGGGGAGCCACGGCCATCGATCCCGTACCGTGTGGACCCCAGGTAATTCTATCCAAGATACTTCGACTTCAGCTACGCTATTCGCGTAGCTGAAGTTGCGTATCTTGGATCGATTCCCCCGCCCCAGTGTAGACCAGTCCCAAGACTGGTCATCTGACTATTGTTACTATGTCTCTCCCATATGTAAGGCTAGGGTGGGATGAGAGATTACTGCATCCCTGGATATGCATAATACATTTGCATGTATTCCTTGATATATGCAGCCCTTGATTTCACCAGTCCTAGAGGGGATTTTCTGTCCTATGGTGTGAATTCCACTGAATAGTACTGATTCAGTGAATTCCACTGAATAGGAACTGATGTTCCTATAAAAAAGACACCACCTCCAGGTAGAAAAGGTGGAATTTAAAGAATCCACATCATTGTGAGGATGAGTTGATATTGCTCATTGAGAGGAGTGAAAGGATTGTTCTTGAGCTTAACCAGTGTAGGGATTTTGGAGGAGGTTAGAGGGGACAAGGTGGGGTAAGGCTTTTTGTGCTCTTACTTACTCTGTATGATGCTACAGTCTCTGGCTCACTATTGTGGGGGCGAAAGGGCTTCCTTTCTCCCTAGATTGTGATTAACCCTTCAAAAGTGCACAAAGGTGGGAGGAAGGGTGGTGGGACCGAGATCCCTTACCCCTCATACATCTGGGCAAAAAGAGAACCAGGTCACAAAGACCAGGGTGTCTATTACTATCAATGGTTTCAGAGTAGCAGCCGTGTTAGTCTGTATCC